ACAGTTAAACTCAAAACCCTTTTTGAAACTTGGACTGCATAATGTTTTAATAGCTTGTCGTTCAGGTTCTGAGGAAACCTGCTGGATAGCATTCTGTTCATAGCTCTGCGTGTTCATGACTGCTCACACGCCCACCCAGGCTACCACATCCAGTAACTTTAGAGGCTCTGCGAGGGGAACGTTTTGTCTCAAGCAGAAAAGAAAAAGACCAAACGCCTGGCGTTGGTTCTTGGAATCAAAAACACAACTCTGGTGTTTAAACAAAAGACAAACGACTTTTTTTTTTTTTGTTCAATTGCTGCTCATCATTACTTTGATCAACCAGTCAATGCTAGGTTGCAGTCTTTGCTCACCTTTGGTCATCATCAGGTCAGGTAAGAGAAACAAGTTACTAAAAATATAAGTGAAACGTTTTTATTAGTTCAGTCATCTTACATGGAAGTTATTCTTCCTGTTCTCACAACAGGTTGAATGAGTTTTTTATTCTGTGTGTGTGTGTATCTCAATCTTTGATACTTTTAAGCTACACTGACTGACTTCTTTTAACAACCCATATCATTATTAAGCATTTCAGCCCCCTGATTTTGGCATTTTTGATTGCACATGCATAGTTTATATATTTCTTACTACCAAATATCATATCAAGTGATACATGTTTTTGTTTTCATTTTTTTCTATATTATTATTGTCATTCAGTGCATTCAGACACCTTAAATTTTAAATTTAGGTGTCCTTTACAATCTTGCCATTTGTGTTGAATGTTTTTACATGTTAATCATCATCACAGCAGTGTGTGGTGTGAGTCACAGGGCAGCAGGAGGACCTTTTGGCCTTTTTATTTCTGTGATCTTAATATTAAATAAGTATGCTTGTGGTTAAAAAAAAAAGAGCAGATAGGATGTAATATATCTGTCAGTGTTAAGTATATAATGTACGTGAATGTAAACAAATAAATAAAGTGAAAATAGGTTTTTAAGCTTTACAATGATACTAACATATTTAAGTTTTTTCATTCTCTAAACGCTCATAAGGTTTTAGTTCCTTTTGTTTGTAAATCAATCAAAATGACGTATTATCTGTTCACCAGTCACAGCTGACCCATGGAGAGAAGAACAGACAGCCCGATCGCTGTTAGCGTGGAGGAGCACTCCAACTTCGTCATCCTGACATACTTCCAGGGGGACATTAACAGCATGGTGGATGCTCACTTCAACCGTGCTCTCAAGAAAGATTACAGTGCTAAGGAATCAGCGATAAAGACAAAGAAACACTCTAAAACTATTAAACTGGGTGAGAGTATAAACTTAACACTACATGGCTTCACTCTAACAGCAGTCAGCCAGTTTTATCTTCATTCTTTGACTGTCTGTCTTTGTCCCTACAGAGGACACAGCAAGCGCTTGTCAGGGCATTGCTATCGACTCCTACTCAATGTCACAGGTCTCCCCTGCATCACGTCTGCTGACCATCACCGCTCCAAACAATACTTCTAGCTCCTGGTCTACATTCCCTACCAGGGCAGGAGAGGGCCCGGGGTTGTCGTCAATTGCATACTCCCTGTCTCCAGATGGGTTAAGTCTCACTGGTCAGCAGTATGCCTCATCCCTGCTCAATCTACTGCACAGCGACCGGGGCGAAATGGGACCAGTTGCCTCCAGTTCCAAGCCCGAGCTCCTTCCCAGCTGGACAATACCTCAAGGGTTTAGAGAGTCTGTGGACCCTGCTGTAGCCTTTGAACCTGGTAATTCTGCAGCTGTAATACAGAATGTTTACAAAAGCTTCCACACAGGAAAATGATATAAATCCTTCTTGGATAGAGAATTGTCTTAGAATAAGGTTAAAAAAATATATAAGGAGGTATAAAAGTAAATTCAGAGAAAGACAGGTTGCAATAATAATTAGTTAGAGTAGCCAATTAAAAACTTAAAAACTACTGCACTCACAGGAGCAATTAAATATTTTGACATACTTAATTTTTTCTGATTAGAGGATTTAAGATTTTCACTTATTTAAGATGATTATAATAGCTGTAAACTGTCTTCTGTGGTTCAGAAGGAGATTTCCAGTCTCTTTCTGATCAGTGCAGTTTTGTGGCATCTTTGCATTATTTTCATGATCTATTCCAAATTGCACTGTTCCATTATTTTTTAACAGGTTCCAGTATTTTGCATTTTGGCATGTAGTCAGGAATATTAGTAAAAATTTCACTAGTTACCCCCAGTCCCTCAACTTAAAATGTAAAGCTTACATGCTTGAATGGCATTTGGGCTATTTTATAACCGAGAAAAAAGCGACAGCCAAAACAAAACAAGAAAAATGAAGTTAACACATTAAATCAGTATCATTAGTATTCTTAAATGATCTCTGATACAGCTGAATTCACAGGAAAGGAAGCATGATTTATATTCCCATAACAGAACACCTGATTCACATTTAATATAAATTATTTATTAAGAAGGTGACTACTGTGGAGGTCGGCAGATGTGCCAGAGATTATTATAGAGGTTATTATACTACAGTAGTCTAATTGTTTTTGGAGTTTTTTAAACCCCAGAAAGCTGACACTCAATATTATAGCTTCCTTACTTGTAGCACTTAAGAGTTTTGTGCACTTGTTAAAAAATAAAACACATATAAATTTATCACATTATATATTGCAGCAACATTTTACTGAACGTACTTTATTTTGCACATCCTTTAGAACTAAGCATTTGTCCTTTTTTCAGGACGGCATCTGGAAAAGAAGGACTTGCACTGGTACTGAAGGGTGAACCTGTGGCTCTGTAAAGCCACCTGTCTTTCTGTAGCCGTTTGTACTTGTTCGACGGGCCTGCAAGGATCATCTGAGAACAAACCGAGAGGAAAAAGCTGTGCGAAATGACCTCAGTGCCTTAGCATGTAGTAACTGGAATAATCTTTCTAAAGAAGAACAGTCTCTGACAAACTGGTTCTTCAACTCCTGTCATTCCAGAGCACTGCATGTGCTGCTGCTCTGTTTGTGGTGGAGTTGAATGAAGGCTTTCTCTTTCATTTTTTTGTGGGCATACTTCAGTAAATAGGCCAGTATTAAGAATGAACATGTAAATGTAAAATTTTGACATAACTTCTAATTAATCAATTAAAGTTTGTTTGGATTGGACCTTTAGTTGAAGTGACAATATTCTATGTAGATAGGAACAGACGAATGAAGGATAATGTACTGTAATAATTACATATTTTCTGTAATACTGTCAAGGTAAGGTGTCTGATGGTGTAACAAGAAATCAGATATACGCAGCAGACAAATAAAACTCTCAGATATCATCCGATGCTAAACAGATGTAATATTTCCATTCTGGTTTGAAAAATAACGATCATGCAACAGATAATCATGTAAAATGAACAATGCTGACACCTTTTGGCATGTTTTATGGCTTTTGCAAGAGCATTTACCCGAATAATGAACTTAAACTTTGATTCTTTAAAGAACATTTGTTATTATATTTGTGTTGTTTTACTTAAATATAAGTTGTATGACTTTTAATTACAACTACTACAGCTACTTGTACTTTAATAAATGATGTGAATATTTCTTCAACTGCTGCTTCTGATTTACTTAAACATTAGTTCATATCACAAGAAGTATTATCCATCCATCCCCTTTATCCTTATCAGGGCTGTGGGGGGACTGGAGCCTATCCCAGCTGTCTCGGTGCGAGAGGCAGGGTGCACCCTGCACAGGTCACCAGTCTGTCGCAGGGCCAACACATAGACACAGACAACCATTCACACTTACACTGATGGGCAATTTACAGTTTCCAGTTAACCTGTCTCCACTAACTGCATGTCTTTGGACTGTGGGAGGAAGCCAGAGTACCCACACAAACACAGAGTCACATGCAAACTCCACAGAAAAGACCCCGGCCTGATGGTGGAATTGAACTCAGGACCTTCTTGCTGTGAGGCAACAGTGCTAACCGCTGTGCTACCCCACGAGAAGCGCCACGAATATCAAAAATGAAACCAAAAGCACGGCTCAATAAATAAATGTAAAGACTTTTACTCAGAAAAAACAGGCAAATAAATTACAAACAGAAAAAATAAAAACA